TTTTTTTTATTAACTTAACTTTTAATTCAATTAATTTCATTATACATTAACTTGTATCTTAACTAAGTTAAATTTTTAAGGTTATTAACTTTAACTTAATTTAGTTAAAAAAGAAAAGTAACTTACCCAACCCTGGTTAAACTGCATTCCAATAATCATTGCCAATAATGAAATTTGTAGTTATACACATATAAGTAACATGAACGCATAAGTAACATAAATTTTCAGTATTAGCAATAAACATTGAAATGCATTCTTAATGATGACATTAATGTTTAAAAATAATGTTAAATAAAAATTTCTAATAAAATCTGTGTTTGCGTGTAAATTACCTACAATTCATATTTCTATACATATATACATATATTATATAGAATATTAATATAAAGAAAAACTTGCTAGAGAGACTAGCTTAGAGTTCTAAGATTTAATATCGATTATTAACCCTAGAACATACATTTTCTGAAAAATACTGAAAACACATCATAGATGTACATTCGATCTAGAAGTCGGTTTAGAATAAATTTTTAGATTCTTTTTTTTATTTTAAAGTTCTGAAATTTAGCAATATACCTGCATAAGTTGTAATGCCAAAAAATTTGATATATTGTTATAAATTAAAACTTCCTTTCTTCATATACAAAGCAAGCTAAATTTAGATTTGGCCTGGGAGATCCATGTGAGTGTGTGCGTGCGTGTTGTGTTTTAGGATTAAATAATATAATTTTAAAATTTAACTTTTTACTTTAGCACAGTGCTGGAATTTATTTGTAGTTTTTAGCCGATTTTCAATTTGGTTCTCGTCCGGCATTTAGACTGCGCGCCGATTAATAAATTAAAGGACGGAAATCAAACTGGAAGTCGGCTGAAAGTTGTAAGTAAATTTCAGCACTGCTTTAACATTACAAAAAAGTTACGAAAAAAGTAACCAACCGTTACTTTCTAAATAATGCATTACTTTTTAAAATTGATAACGAGTAACGATAATGAGTTACTTTTTATAAAAAATAACGTGTCACCGCGATATTTTTTATAAAGTAACATTCTAAGGAGCCGATTCTATAACTTTTAACGACAGTCGTTGATGCCATTGCGCAGCTTTTTTACTCTACATAATATCTGCGCAATGACATCAACGACTGTTGTTAAGAGTTACAGAATCGGCCCTTTAGTCTTGCTGGTACATTAAAGATAATAACAATAATAATTACCTAGATGTTTTCGGATTCCACACAACAGCAGCGGCAGTAGCGACGATAGAAGATACATCTATGAAAGAGTATTACATACATATATAAATATACATATCTATATATATTTACATCCTGCAATTTAATATAGATTGGGACATTTGCGTACATACCTAAACAAATAGTGATTACAATCGCTGGCAATAGTGCACATGTTTTAAGAGCCATGATTCTATAATCGAGCAACGACCCACGACTGGACTTCTTTCTTCATCCTTCTCCTCTTCTTCATCGAGAGAGAGAGAGAGAGAGAGAGAGAGAGAGAGAGAGACTCGTGCGTATTTTCGTAGATTCTTAAAATAAACTCGGTTTCTCTTTAGAATATTGCTTTAGTGTCCACTCGTTAGCGCGATATCATTACTTCAACAATTATATCGCGAAAAGAGGACTTTTTTTGGACGATCGATAGATAACATAGCTGATAGCATATTTTATGTTCGAGAGCGTTGTGAATGAAACAGCTGTTGATCGAACTATCGCGATCCAATCTGGCACTGTCATGCGAGAATATATAAATGTATGCGTGTGTGTATGCGAGCCAATTTATCAAATACAAAGTTTTCTCTAATTAAAATAAAAATTTGAAATTGTACTTAAATGTTTAAATCACCGATGAAAAGGCTCAGAAATAAGTCAATTGAAAGTGAAACTAAGCTAATATATGACAGTGTTTACCGCATTCAGTAGAAAAAACAACTTTGCAACTGTTGTAAAATTCTTTAATATTAGTCTTAGTTCCTCATTGGATCTAAATGTATAAACCAATCATATTTAAGAATCTTACAACAGTTGCAAAGCTGCTTTTTCTGCTGAAGGCAGCTTTCGTATCAATATGAACTATAGGTAATGTAACGATGATTTACTGAAGAAACAGTGACTTGTATGATGATTTCTTGGCGAAATAAATTTCCACGAGAAACACCAGGATGCAAGAAAGTAAACCAATCGTAAGCCCGATGAAAGTAAGGGAGTAATGCTCCATTGTCAGTTTAATCTTTCTCTCGCTCTTGTCCATCTTTCTTTTCTGCTCAGCCACGTACGGCGGATAAGCCACTTGCTCATACCACAAACGAACAAAACCCATTTGCTGCATTCGTAGTAGTAATTCGTTGATTCTCTCTCGGTACGGTGAGTGAAGCCTTATTATGTAAGACAACGTCGAAGTGGTCGGACATTCTTCGACTATATGGAGCAGATTGTTGCCGTCTACATCGTAGTACTTAGACATATCTTCCAAATTGACCACCGATTGACGAACGATGCCGATCATTCTCTTACCAAAGGCCACGAAGTCGTAGGTAAGCTTATCAGAATTTAACAATTCAACTTTACTCCGCAATTTGTTATCCAGAGTAGTAGTCCCCGAAAACGTATTCTCCTTTAAGTTGTTATACTTGGTAATGATAGTAAAATTCGAGCAAGCGATATCTTCCAAAGTATTTAATTCAGGATAATGGAAGGGATTGCTCAAACTGAACATCAGACAACTTTGATAGAGGCTGGTGACGATGAGTCCGAAGAAAAGCGTGCCGATCAAAAAGGCTCTCTGAGCGGTCGTGCTACCAGCGCTACCACCGTCCTCCTTCAACGGGTAACACGAGGTTTCGACGAGGTCGAAGCACGACGAAACGTAAGGATGTATTCTCAGTGGTAAATCCGACCGCTGTGAAAGAACGTATCCTGTCGTTCTTATCAAGGGGAGGAGAACGGCCTTTCGTCGACGAAACGAAACGCTGTAGTATTTTATGAGGAACCATAGAACGGACACGAGAATGTTGTATATCGCGAGAGCCACCCACAGATTAGACGCGAATGACATTATTGGCATATATGATTTCGGCACGAAACCAGCTGTGGGTGCGATCAAGCATAGCTTGTCCTCATAAAGGCTAGCTGTGAATTCGTACCTTCGATATCCCTTATATTCGTGAACAAGGAAATTAATAATGATTATCTCCGACTCACCATCCTCAATGTATTGAAGAGCACGAAGAAATGGATCATAACTTCTGTTAAATGAGTTGACCGAAGGAAGCTCAGTGATATGAAACTCAGTTCCCATTGCTTGCTCCAACAACCACTTCGCTTTCGTGTCCAGTTTGTCGAAATTTTTAATAACATTCGAACGATTCGTATCATTGTCGAATGTAACTTTCCAAGGTGAGAACATGACCACGTGTATAGGATATCCGTTCAAGTTCTCAAAGTTGGTATAGAGCTCGACATTATCTTTCTGGTCCATTAAACAAATCTTACGTATGACACCGTATTTGTTTTGTCGATTCTTTTCGAACGGTAGATATCTTCTTAGACATCGAAAATCGTCTTCTATCGAAATAATGACGATCCTATAGACACCGTAGATCTTCCAAACTGTCTGAAAAATCTCTCCCGGCGAAATCGTATTTGGAGTGGTGACAATTATTAAATATTGATTGACAGCCTTCCAGATATGGCTTTGTTTGTGTACAAAAAAATTCAAAATATTCATACTATCGATGATGAAAATCCATGTAAGATCAACGCGACTCTGCCACGTATATTTCCGTGACAAGTTGTTTGTTGTGATTTTGTAGCTAACAATAGATTCACTCGCTACGTACTTGGATAAAAGATGTACGACATTAGATCGATCATCGGAAGAAACGAGACAAAATATCGATGAAGAAAATATCTGCTTGCTTCGAACGTAATTCAAAATAATTCTCAAGTTTTCATCTTCCACCGATTTCGATACGTTATTTTTTACAATGATTTTGTACGTTCTATCTACCGTAGTCTTCGCCGCCGTTATTGTTGACAACATCAATAAATAAAACAGTATTGTTGGTGACATTATGATTGGTGAAAATCGTTTTTCAAAAGTTTTCAACTGTATCGATGCAAACGCGGTTCAACAGGATCCGCTTCACAAACAGTGATAAAACAAGTCAGAAAGTAAAACACGAGTTTTATATAGATACAGGTCAATACATATAGTTAAAAAGTAAAAATATATATATATATATATATATATATATATATAATTAAAGGCTGTCACGTTACAATAGATAGAAATCATGAGCGTGATGCCTCGATAGAAATACCAAGAATTAATCACGACACAGGAGCATCGTTAACGTTCGCTCCGAGTGGTTTTATTGCATTTTGACGAGTTCGTACATACGTATCACATATATCTACTAACGTCGTGATTAATATTCGATATTTCGTGATGACGTGAAATTGAAGAGAGAGCGTCATATACTATATTCACTACTGTTAGAAATGTTCTTAAATTTCATTAACTTTTAATGTACATTGGTGAATGAAGTTTAATTTCTCTGTAACTGAAAGGACTATTAATGCACATGTTAATGAGATTTAAGTTTACAGTAACTGAAAAATTAAGTGTAATGAAATTTAATATACTTTTCATTTACGGATATAAATGATATTTAATTAATCGTAATTGAAATAACTATTAATGTACATATTAATGAAATTTAATGTACTTTTACATTTACGAATATTAATAATATTTTAATTAAACCTAATACTATTAACGCTTAACGTTTAATACGTTTACGTTTCTTACATGTCATTAACGTAAATTACTTTTCAGTTACAGATCTCGTACTTTTCATTAACGTGTAAATTAATTTCTATAATAATGTGTTCATTAATTTCAATACACACGTTCATCACATTTAAGACTACTGTAATTTAGTTTTTATTTACATCATTCATTCATTACATTTAATTTCGTGCATAACCACATGCTTTCTTTACATGTTAATTAAAATTCATTGAGAAATTTCTAACAGTGTACGATAGCAGTTTGAAAAGAGAATATTAAAATAAAATTTATTATCATATGTAAGTATAGCACGAATATGTTCTAGGAAGAGCTCGAAATTTATCTTTTCTTCTTTTCGTTCTCGATCATTTGAAGACACATTGGGCGCATTCAACGGACTCAACAGTTGAGTGAGCGCTCACTGTTATTGGTATATTCTTCTAAATCTAAAATTCTGATTGGATGAGCTAAAAGAATACACCAATAACAGCGAGCGCTCACTCAACTATTGAGTCCGCTGAATGTGCCCATTAATTCTCTGTCAAGTACCATAGCACCGGAGAAAGTGATGTGAATGATGAAATAGATGGATATTCGTTCAAATATTTATCCAAATATCCTTTTTCTTGTTCTAACAAGAATTCTATTATATCACTGGCATCGACAGCGAATGTATAATGTTATTTACTATCTTTCTCTGCAAAATATTAAAATAATGTTATTGTACTATTGCTTATTTCTATGATCCGGATATATCCGGAGTTTATTTAAACTTGGACAATTTCAAGGAACAATTTAAAAGAGAAATTTATTGTACGTACATTGCTGATAAAGATATGAAACAACGAAGAATAAGTGACCAAAGAATAATCGCGCTACATATATTGTGTAATCTGCTTAACATTTATCCTCTGCTAGAAACGTCATCTCGTTTCCCCTCTTATTTTTTTTCTTAATTCCCCTATATTTACTTCGAGTAAATTGAACAAACGTTTACTTTCCTTCGCAAACGTCAAGTTCACGATATATTATTAAGTTAAAAATTTCGTTATACGGCGCTGATTCTCACGCATGTACAGTGGAACTTCCCCCAGCTAACGTTAAATATTCTCAGAAAGTTCGATTTGTATTATCAATGTACCCAATGTTCCAGAACAATAAAATAATCGTCACAGAATGTGTAAATGTCGATGAAATGTTCAGAATATTGTGTGAATACTCCTTATATATTTCACGAAAATCGCGAGCGAGCGAGCAGTACACATCTCCGCCGACAGAGGGCAGCGGCGAAGAACATTTACTCGTAAACAAGAATCACGTGGGAGAGAATGAATAAAAGGAGCGGAGCACTTTGTCTATGAAGTGAACCCCAAAATTGGACTCCAAGATAAAAACATTTTAAATGTATTTACCCCAAAGTAAAATTTTGTTTAAAAACTGATTCACAGACGACCTGATCCAGAATTTTTGGAAAAATTAAAATTTTGCGGAATATATATGGAATATATAATATATGGAACATTCTCAAAATATGTAACGATATACAAATGAAATTTTTAACCGACATTTGAATGTTTCTTTTACATACCATAAATATTCGGAATATTTTGGAGTATTCTTGGAATGTTTTTTGGGGATTTTACAGGAACATTTTATGAATATTTTAAGAATGTTTAGCGTTTGCTGAGCCATAACTTAACTTCTACTACGCGGGGCTGTGAAAAGCTAGGGAGATTCTCCCCATTCTACATTAGGGGCAGAGCATTTATAAGAAGCATCTTCTTTTATGGCTCACGCCTCCAAACAATCAATAGGAGATCGATATGGCATTATAAGAAGCATATATCACACATATAGTGAGAACGTTTGCGCAGACGCCAACGCAACATAACCTATAATTTTAACACTGGAAATTTTTATGGATTGCGCACAGTGAAAGGAATAGGAAACAGGGAATAGAGAATAAGAATTTCAATTTATCCAGAAATCATGTATTGTGGGAATACACTGCAGTTTCTGATAGGTTGAAATTGTTATTCTCTGTTCCCTGTTCCCTATTCCTTTCATTGTGCGCAGCCCCTTATATACATGACGTCATGTTATTATATATACATGTGGAAGAGGAATGAAGAAGTTACAAAGTACTGAAGTTAGGGAAATTCCACTGTAAATATACCCCTACTGAAAAAAATCACGTCACACAGTTGCATGATAAAATTAAGTAATTAAAATATGTAAATCACGTAATGGATTCTTTCGGTACGTGATGTTAAAATTACGTATTTTGAAAAGTCACATGATATGTTCTTTTTTCTTCTATTTCTATCATTCAATTCTTTAAAATTTGATAACTATAAAAATCACTTAATGGATGAAATTATTTCTAATATTATATGACTTTTCAAATTACATCGTTTTAAATAATCATGTACTGATTTGGAACAATCCATTACGCAGGGAATGGAAGTAACTCGTTACTTGTAACGAAGTTACAGTTACAAATTACTTTTTTGGTAACTTTACTAGTAACTGCGTTACTTTTTTTCTTTGGTAACTGTAACGGTAACGAAGTTACATTTTTTTGGTAACGGTAACGAATTTTACAGTTACTTTTATCGTTACTTTGCACATGATTGGACACGATACGACACA